CACCATCCTTATACAGAATACGTTTATACCAAGTTTCGTCGAAATCCCTCCATAGCTTCTATGAAAATTGTTATAAAAATCGAATTTTCGCCAAACTTTGGGGGTTTGTTTCACCCCTTAAATGTGGATCATTGCAGATATAAAAAAACACGTGTCTCTTAGATTTTTGTGTTCTTCAACATATATGGAAATCGATAAGATCGGGGGCGGACACTTGGGAATGTTTCCTTGTTAGAAAAATATTCCACACCGACGTTTTTGCGCCCGCTAATTTCTCGGAAATGTTTTTCCGTAATTGCGGAACGCCGAGTAGCGGAATTACCGGAGGGAAAAATTTTATTTGCTCGTTTGAAATTTTATATCAATGCGCAATTGCTCGCTTGATATTCAGTTTTGCTCCTTTTTTTTTTTTTATCATCGGCGGGAATTAAGTCGCTCCTGCGGGAAAACGATTCTTACATTTTATAATGATCGTCGTGCAAACTTCACCTTAACAAGGAAAAACGCGATCATACCGAAGGTGAAACGCCCTCGAGGGGAAAATCGTGACACCTTTAATGTACTTCCGCAAAACACGACAAAGGTGGATCGATTCGCCGTAGGAATAAACAATGAGCCGCCATTGATTGATTCCTCACGGTGTTACGTGGACGTTAGAAATTACCGCGAACTGCGAGACGCATTGTTAGAATATTGAATAAAACGCGGCCTAATTGCTTAAAAAGAAGACCACAAACTGAAAGATAATCATGTACAAATTATTTATCTACTAACTACTGTAGATTTCTAAGTATTTATGCAAGCTTGGAGAGCTTGAAATCAGCTAGAAACATTGTTATCGCTGTCATAACAGCCTTTGCGACACATCTAATAACTTTACTGCATCACGGACCGTTAAAAGCGGGTATAAATATCGTATACTTAACGCACAAATTTGAAATTTCGGTTTCGCGCCAAGAAACTTAAGAACGCGTTTGATTGGTGAAGAACTCGATGACGTAGTGTCATGGCCGCTCGAGTGTGTAAATGTATTAAATTACGTATTCATGTATAGACAAATTATTATCATCAAGGTATACTGTTACGCTCAAGATACCGAAGATTGTTTATTTTACGACTTTGCGAAAATTAAGGATAGAGAAAATCCCGGTTCTTAGAATATAATAAATAGAAACGGCGCGTCGGTGGCTCTTCTGGATTACCATGAAGGACGTACATTCCGGGCTGTTTGTTCGTCGAGTGCGTTAATATTTGGATTTTTGGCTAGAACGCGTACGTATTTATCACATTTCGCGCCTATCAAAACACTTACGTGGGAATTCGCGGCACTAAAAACAACGACATGGCCAAGGATTCGCGGAGGCAGTTCTTGACACACAGGGGTGCAGAGCAAATGCTTGCATAAATTAGTTTTACGGTGGGTAATATTAATTTAACACGCGGAAATCTGACCTCCTCGTCCGGAAACATCTAACGATGCTTTTTAGGAAAAGTATATCAGCCTATGAAACGAAGTCGAAGGAAGTCCTAACGAAGGGCTTGAAACTCGCGAAATTCCATTTTACAACAAAAAAAAGTTTACATTTATCCTGAACAAGATCATAAACAATTGTGCTTTTTTTTTTATTTCGAAAAATGAAATTTTGCAAGTTTTAAGACATTCATTAGGACCTCGATAAGCACGTGTTAGAGTTTCAAATTATTTGATGCACTCAAGAAATGTTTCATGAATATTTTAACGTTTCTATATATAAAATGACCCTTTCATATCAGCTTAATTTTCCATGTATAATTATTCTAAATCTTGGCAATTTAACGCGTAAAATAATTTATAGATGTCATTGAAATCGGCGCCGATATTGGAAGTCCTGTTCCGGGCAAATGAAAACAAGCCGGCGCTAAAATATGAGAAATTTGATTTGCATTCATTCTCGAATGCCAAAAAGCGTTCTCCCACGTCGTTGCACTAACTCACCTCGAGCATTAACAATTTTGGGAGCACTTCGTTAAATTGCGGCACTCGTGCATGCCATTTTATTACGTGGGGACAATATTTTGGACGATTCGTTTGATATGTTCGCATAAGCGTGAACACCAGAGTTATGCATGGCTTGGAATAGACAAAGAGTGCCAAAAAGTGCCAAAACGGATAACTCTATTCTTAGATCATTGTTAATGAAAATCAAGAATTCGAAATTTCATTTTCCGAGAAAAGAAAAATCTCTTCGGTTCTTCACCGAGACAAATAAAAAATTGCTCGACCCTTTCGTATCACCTTAAGGATCTTTGCATTCTTTGTATATGAAAAACGTCAAAATATTGATAAAACTTCTCCAAACGGGGTCCCCGTTTTTGTTTAAATATACAAAAGGATACGCGTTTTTTTTTTTTTTTATCGTATTTCACGAGCATCGCGTTACTTCTTAGGGCCTTCGTAATCATGTGCCGAAGTATCAAATGATTCGTTGCACCCAATTTGGAGATCAGTTTTATTAATATTTCGATGTTTTGGTACATGTAGAATGACCCTTTCGTAAAACCTTAATAGAAAGAGTAATATTTTTAGTAAATATACATTCGAAATAGGCTCGCTCTGTAGAGCGTTGCAATGTCCGTGCAGACATCCTTGAAGGTAACGCGTTGGGTACGGCTTGAAGTTACGCAAGATATATCGAGAAAGTGGAAAGACAATGAGACATTAGTGAAAGTGCCCTTGTTTAACCGATTACCATCCGTGGAAATGACGGGGAGCGAGTAATAGTTTCGTTTGTTGCGAGGGATAATGGCGCTTGTGGGGGCGGCCATCTTGGATCTTTTACGCTGTGCCAAAATCTGGACGCAAGATAAAAGACTTAATATCGAGATTAGACGAATTCAGTGAATCGACCGAATTCAGAGACCAGAAAATGCCTGCGCAAAAGTTGCTCCAGTTTCGTCATTCCATTTCGATAAGGAATTTCTCTCGATAACGTCCATTCGCGTGACGCGTGTCGTTCAAGTTACGCATTCCTTTTGTTCTCAGCGATACGGAAATCGCTGAAATTAAAGCGACATGAAAATGGCGTCCGAGGGTCAATCGGTTTTAGGAACTTTTCATCGAACGAAATGCATCGAATCGTTTGAAATTTTACCACTTCAAGATGGAGGCCCTAAGTAAGATCTCGACACTTGTGACATGTCATTCTTTATAAAAATATAACGGTAAATAAATTAAAAAACGAAATGTCACTGGTGTCGAGACCTTCCCTAGGGCTTCCATATTCATGTGGTTAAGGTGAACTGAAACATCCTTCAAATCAGTCGATTCGAATACAACACTTTTTTTCAAGGGTATTAGACCAAACTGTCCGAAACCTTGACACATCACTCCTGATCATCTAAGAATTGTCCTGACACATTCAAAATTTGGATTTTTCAACAAAATTCTTTAACTCAGTCCAGACCAGAACCAAAATGGCGTCGAGCTCTCATATCTCGATCGATATACAATTATCGAAGGCTCTGATATGAGAATCGATAGGGTCAGGACAATTTTACGAGAATTTAGAACACTCTGGTAATCGATAAACTCGCATTTGAACGGGATAAAGGCAAAAAAAGTGTTGTATGCGCTTCTTTGCTAAAACGATGGTAATACGAGGTCTCGGAGTGAAAATTTAATTGACCTGGAAATCACAGATGGCGCAAGGGGTCCCTCCGCAGTCAATTAGGGCCCCAGAAGGCATGAATCTAGAGGATTTCTGGAGTTTTACTTCGATTTCTTTATAATTATTGTACGAAAACGACAAGTGGAATATGCCATTTGGTACAATACCCAATATAATTCGACCCAGCTGTCGATATAAAAACGAACGTCGGCAACGTAGGCATTTAGAAAAATCTTCTTTATCGACGTTGATCAAGTTCCTGGACGTGTTTCACTTCATCTTAATCTCCTCAGCTTTTCCGGGTGCAGAAGGTGACTAAGAGCTCGCAACTCGCGCGATTCGTTTCGGGGAAATTTTCATTTCGATTCGCTTTAGAAGCGAAGGCGAACGTCGACATATCGACACGGGGATTTCGAGTGGCGCTTTATTTAACGCGGCTGGAAGTACAGGAAGTGCTGCCCAAAACGCTCGACATGAGATTCGAATGTCGAATATCCGTTAACGTTATTTAAACGGCGACGACGAGCTCAAAGAGCAGGCCGAACAGGACCGATTTAGTTGAGATCAAAGCTCCGCATTTCTGCAATCGATAATTCATTTCCTTTTCCTTGCGCCAAGAGAAGTAGGTCTGGAAATTAAAAAGTCGTCGGAGACTCCCAAGATACCCTGATAAAGAAAGATTTAAAAATATGAAAAGTAGTCTATCACTTACAGAAAAGTTATTCTCAACTAAAGCGAGCGATATAACGGATTCGTTATGACAAAATATGCAACAGAAGTATGAATTAAGGCGATGCGAATGGCGCCAAAGTGATCTCGTTTATGTAACTTTTCTCCGAACTGGGTGCACCGAATCATTTGAAACCTTATCGCGTGATTACGGAGGACCTAACGAAGGTCCCGAAACTCGCGAAATGTGATTTTTAAAAAAATAAATAAAAATTACCCCGAAGGAGAAAAATCTCTTTATCGACAAATGAAATTTCGCGTGTTTCAAGACCTTCATTAGGACCTCCATTAATCGAAATGTGATTTTTCAAAAAATAAATAAAAATTACCCGAAGGAGAAAAATCTCTTTATCGACAAATGAAATTTCGCGTGTTTCAAGACCTTCATTAGGACCTCCATTAATCGAAATGTGATTTTTCAAAAAATAAATAAAAATTACCCGAAGGAGAAAAATCTTTTTATCGACAAATGAAATTTCGCGTGTTTCGAGACCTTCATTGGGACCTCCATTAATCACGTAAGAAATTCTCAATCTTGGTCGTGTTTTTTCTCACCTCCACATAGGGTACCCAACCCTTCCAGGGTACTCTTCAACATCTAACCGTCTCGCATCTTTTCTGTTCCAGGTTCGTGATGAACCTGACGGTCTCCAACCTCTTAACTTGCGCCGTGTTGTCGCCCCTGCTGATGGTGGACGCGCCGTCTTCGAGAAGCCTCTGCGCCATCTCCGAGGGAGCCACGGCATTAGTAACGACCTCTTCGGTCCTGTCCGTGCTACTGATAGCAGTAGACCAGTACTTCGCCGTAGTGGACCCTCTTCGCTATCGGACACGCATAGACAAACTAAAATGTGGAGTGCTGATCGGTTCCATCTGGGTGATAGCCCTGATCTTCGGGTTCCTGGCGGGATTAAATCCACATCCTCGAAGTCTCTGGCTCTCCTGCTCCGCCGAGAACGACTCTATCGCCATTGACGACGTCCAAACGAGGATAGACGTCTTCAGGAGGTCAAACTGGACAGCAGGCACCGTCTTCGAGGAACCCCACCTAAAGTTCCAGAATATCAGCAAGTTTCCAGGAGAAGACCTGCTAGAAGAGTTCCCAGTTCTCGGCGACGAGCCTCGACCCAGTTGGTGGGAATACCTGAGTTATGGTCTGGTGTACACCCTGAGCTACGGCCTCCTGGTGTACCTGGTCCCCTTCGCAGGGGTCTGTTGGACCTATGTCAGGATCTACTCGGCAGCTAGAAGAAACTCGGAGAGGACTCGACGCACCGGGTCGAGGCCGATCCTTTCTTCGGGGAGCCTCTGCGAGGAGTACTGTCCAGTTCGCCAGGACGTAGTGGGCGAGGAGTTCCGTAGGATCCCGAAGATCTCCAGTCTGTCCTCCATCGAGGAGAGCATCGAGACGAGTCCTAGTCAAATGCCGCGCAGATGCTCCGATCTGATCCTGTCGACCAGGAAGCCGATGGAGGACTCCGGCAACGTGGTCTTCACCCTAGGGTGCGGAAAGGTGGACGGTACTTCGGAGAGGTCGAAGGACGTTTCCAGGGTCCCGATCTCTGTTCTTAAGACGGAGTTCTTGGACAGGAAGGAAGATAGAACTCCCCAGGACGACCGGATCAGGAGCAGGTTTCTGGACCGCCCGGATGAGAGACGGAAATCCTCCCACGATCTCATGTACGAGGAGTCCATCCTAGCCAGGAGGGGGTCCGGGAAGTCTGGACTCTCCGACTCTTCCTCCGAAGACAGCAGCCAGGAAGACGACACGTCGGCCACCTACAAAGGGAACCACGAGAACCTGGACGGGATAGATCTCCGATGTTTCGACTCTCGGGAAGAGAGAGCTGACGAGGATCTACCCCGTCCATCAGGTCGCGACCTTCCTCAGAACATAGATATTAAGGACCCCGAAACGATCCTAGACGATTCCCCGGGAAGCGACCCCGATTTGTGTGCACATCCGCACAAATTCGAGGTTGAGGGTGGAAACGGTACCGAGGACTGTACCTCGATCTGCCCCAGGTTACCCCGGAGTCTCAGGATGCCAGGATCGGGCAACAAACCGTACCTTGGGTGTCCCTCCCTTAGCAAAACTGGATGTCGCGTTGGGAATGGAGTCCATCAACGCGTGGAGTGCAGCTTCGACGTCGAGGACGCCGTTGGCAAGATCCACCAGGGTATCGCTTTCACGAAGACCGACTCGTCGAACTCTTTGTTTGGGACTGGACCCAATACTCCTGTCGTGACGATAACGCCCCCAAATAAGCTACCGCTTCATAGGGCCTCCAGCACCAGGAGCACCAGCAGCTACATCAACTCCTTGAAGTACAGGATCAGCAACGCGTCCCTTTTCAAGTACAGGGAAGAGACCAGAGCCGCCAGGATCAGTGCCCTGGTGATCGTGATGGGCCTCTTCTGCTGGACGCCCTACGTCGTTATGCTGATCCTGAGGAACCTTCCGGTGTATCCTGAAGAACAGGCCCCGCCACACAAGTATGACGTGATCGCCTTGGGGCTTTTGATCTTGGCTGCCTATGTCAGTCCTCTGCTCTTCGGGTACCGGTCCAGGAGAGTCAAGAGGGAGCTGCGGAAGATTTTCTGCTTCAGGAAGGAACTGTCCTACAAGAATAATAGGAGTCTCATGGCGAAAAAAGTACTCAAGCGGAGGCATAGTGGTGGCACCTTCAATCAGTTTGATGTGGATACCAAGTATAACATCTTCAACTGTGTTTATGGGAAGACAAGATGGCCCAAAGAGAAGGTGCAGTTTGTCCAGGTTCCTGATACCGCCCTTGCAGTGGAAACTTGCAGAAGTAGCTTCTCTAGTGGAGCTAGCACGCAGATATCCACCACTTCTACCGAGGAGTGTTGATCTCGAAAGCAGGAACCTTTATTTATACTTTAAGGCGGTATGAAAGTGGTCTTAGATAAAGAGTTGATCATTCGACATTTTACCAGGCGAATGTGGAGGCACTAAGAAAGGTTGCGACACCCATGAAATTGTAATTATCCGGTTTTATATATATATATATATATAACCGGATAATTACAATTTCAGTGTAGTATATATATATATAATCGTTTCATAATTTCTAAAATTTGTATTATGAAAATGTTCATAATTTTTATTTACATTTTTATTATGAGAAAATATATATACTCACACCACTTTCATATCACCTTAAGCCGATGCAAAAGGCAATGAAAACTTTAAATCATGTTGCGTAAACTTGCTAAACCTCGACGAATATGGATTCTGTATCGGTGGGTAATTTTTTTTAAACGCATCATCGTAATGTATATATGCAGGTTTTTTTTCCACCTGCCTCCGAAGTCGATTCATGGTAATATACGTAGGTATATCACCATATGTGGACGTATAACTGGTCCCACAGATAACCTATAAAAAAGTGAATATTAATTACGAATTCTAATTTTTGAAAACTTGAGTCCACAGGTTCCAAAATAATGGAAGGCGTTCTTTTAAAGTGTGAAAAGGCACTTGTGCCTTGTTTGGATTTTAGCTCGAAAAATATATTTTTTACTTGCGTCTAGTTCGGACTGAGTGGAAGAGCGAGAGGCACCATTGAGTGACGAGTTGAGCGTTTTCCTGAAAAATAATGTTTGCTTTTATATTTTTTTACTTGCGAAATCGCGAGTGTGCGTGTGAGGATTGGAGTGACGTCGTCGTCATTTGAGAAAATCTCAATAGACGTAGGAAAAAATATCACCGGCAAATTTTAATTGTAATCATGACGAATTGTAAAGATACTTAGCATGGCATATCCCGTGGTACCGTTCTTCTGTTTCTGTGGCTTAAATTAATTTGGTGGTTCCTTAAATTTCTTTCACCATTAATGCGTCATGGCAGGAATTAACTTCGCAACTTAGTCCTGGAAAATCATAATGTGTCGAAGAGCCATTTTAAACGGAATAGTACAAAGAACGATCATACTCATCGGGACTGGAATTGAAAAACCAAATTTTCCATCCGAGTAAAAGGTCCATCCGTTTGCGATGGAGAATTTCGGGTTTTCAAAATGGCGGACGCAGACGGCGTCCATTTTTCGGCGTTCTTGACGTCGAACGCCAGGTTCTGATTTTCTACTAGTCGCTGAAGTTGCGTTTAAAAACCCGAAATCCATGACTCGGCTAAAGTTCACCAGTTTTCCCCATTTCCTTGACTTTAGCCGGAGTTTTACGGAGAACGCCGGGAACGCAGCTCGAATGCAACTTCATTCGTTAAGTTTCTTCGCGCCGAATTTCCGTACCGTTAAATTATTTGAACGTATATCATTAAGTGCATAAGCGTGTTACGTTAATTCGTACTTTTCGTACTCTTGTAAACGTAGGTGATCTTTTTTCAAGGTCAAAATCTATACAAAACGTTCTGTTTGTAAGACTTGAGAATTCGTAGTCAGAATTCGGAGTCATCGGCCTTGGTGACTAGTATTATTGAAAATTAAATTCAGCTCTGTTATCACGAATTCGCAAAAAGATCACCTACTTGTATATTATTAATTAAGAAAGATTAGTACTCTTCCACCGATGTATAAATATCAGTACTCTGTACACTAGCGTCGGAGTGCATGATGATGCAATTGAGTACATGTGTTCCATCGGTGTGTATATACGTACAAATATATATACTTACACAGAGATGCAGCATTTTCATGACACGATTGTTTAGAAACAAATCTAAAGGCATCTAAGAACGTAGTTATACTGTGCGAAGAAATGAACTGCATTTTCCACTCTACGATACGAATACATTTTTCTGTGTAACCGTACATGAGGTAAAAAAAAATGTTTCATGCGAGAGTTGTCGAGTGTAACCTACCGAACAAATGTCGTTTAAAGCATTTCTTAAAGTCATGCATAATTTAGGCAGAAAGTTGGAATTCTATCCAGTGGTAACGAAGTGCTGGTACGATTTATTCTTCTATTATAATTAGCTTAATTACCAGCTAAAGAGCTCCGTCGGGATGACAAGAGACATTTTGAGTTTGAGTCGGACACCACCACGATTATCTTGTATTTTTGGAGACCGACTCAAAATTGATATGACTCGTTGCTATTCTCATCCATGGAAATATTTATAAACATTGCATCTGCACGAGTACCGCGTGTTAAATCGAGTACCTTGTAATAACGTGTAAATATTGTACAGCATTTTCATGACACGGTCTCATTGCGAGCAATCTTTGAAGCGATCCAGGGAAAAGCTGCAGTCGGTTCTTCGAATTACTTTGTACATTACAAATGAAGCGTTTATTTATATTAAATAATCTGTATATATGCTCAGCTTTCATGGCTTCCCCATTTCCTAGCTTGGAATTCTCGATTCATTTTACAGCCACCATAGTTTACAGCACACCGAATATATTTACAAATGCCACAACGAAAAGGGTGGTACACGTTAAAAAACGCCAGAGAAAGTACGTGGAACTGATTTTAACACCGTGCAATAACGAATCGACCCTCTTATCATTCATTAACTTATGCGAGTTTATTAATAAACGTCATACGAAATACAGAAAGTCTTCATTACTTCGTTCTTCCCAACATCCCTCCGTCGTATCTGAAAATGTCACGTTTCTTTGAATGAAGAAACTATAGTACGGAACAAAAATAAATAAATAAAAAAAACTGTAAGAGAATACTTTCTACTGACCGTTAAGTAGTGAAACAAAATCTAAATCGTAGAGCGAATAGTTTCCTTTGTTTATTGTTAGATCTGCAATATTTTGCTCTATAATATAATTTTCTCGCAGAAGTTTACTTCGAGTAATTCGTGGGTATCAAAAACCTTAACAGAAGTTTGTAGAATTGATTTTAAGCATTCCCGAATTATTAACCTCGTGCAAATTGCGGAACCGCAGCTCAAATTTCTGCGAGAGCTGAAGCTGGAGGTACGCCAATTTCCTCGAAAGAAAGAGACCATCTTGCCTACGAAATGAAATAAAAAACGAAAAGCCTCTCTGGCTCCCGTTGGCTTTTGGCCAAAGTTTATACAGCGGTTCAAATTTGCGGCGTGAAGCCACTCTCTCGGTTATTGTGGTTCTAAAACTTAATAGGTTTAAACTTTCAAAGACACGGAACGTTTTCCACTAACAAATGATTATCCGATTTAACTGTTAATGATTTAAATGAATACTTCGTATCTATGCATAATCTGCAGTTACTTTTGTATGAAACATTTTTCCAGATGACGTACGGTTCTTATTACCTAAATCTATTCGTATCGCCAAAACAGCATTCGATCTGTCTGACGAACTTTCTTGAACAAATATTAAAAATAGTTTATTTTCAAATTATTAAATAATATATCTAAAACTAATTTAATTACAGTTGCTAATCATCATCATCATCGTTATCTGGCTCCTCAAAGTCCTGCATTTTTACATCTTCCTCCTCTCCATATTGAATAATATTGTCGATGGTTAATTTGATGTCTGAAATGCTTTCTTCATCCTTGATGTTCAATGGGTAAAATCGTACTAGACTGTAGTCTTCTATTATTCTTCCTAAAGCTTCGGTTAGTCTGCGATATTTTTCATTCCAAGGTCCTGCCTGCACGTCGCTCAACAAGCTCTGCGGATCAGGTTCCAGATACCTATCTAGTTGTTTTCTAGAACTCTTCGACAGGAGATCCATCTTACTTAAGATATTAACATGTGGTATTTCTAAATTAATCATAACACTAAGAGCCGCCATAGTTCCTGACAAAAACTTCGTCCCATCAACCATGAATTGACTGTCAACTAGAAACACTCCACAAACACGAAAGTTCATATTCTCCAGGCAAGTAATTAATTGTCGCATAACGGTCATGTGTGTATAAAGCTCGATCTGCCCAGGGCAATCGAAAATTATGTAGTCATCGTCCATATCACTTAAACCCTCCTCCAGCCAATTCAAATTTTCTACTAAATATCTGCAAAGAAAAATGTTATCAAAAAGTTGTATTAAGTATATAATTACAGGATGAGATACCTACTCCATACAAAATACAAGGCCTCCATTAGGACCATATTTAAGGGTATCGTCTTCCATGGCATCGTCTAAGTGAATCAGATCTCTTATATCGAGTAACGGTTCGTAATCAAAGTACTCTGCGGCTGGGTCTAAATTAACCACATCCACAACCTTTCTGTCATCCGCTGCATGTTTGTGCATGGTAGAGCAGTAAGTAGACTGTAACAGAAGAAATATTCTGCATTAAATGGGACGTCATACACAACCATTAAATGTCACATGTCAAAATAAGCCGCGTATAACCTCACTTATAAATTCACATAGACTATCAAACTGTATTCTGTCGTAATTATAATAAAACAGTTACCTTGCCGCTACCAGCAGGTCCCATGACAAGTTGTGCATACCTCATGGCTGTACTTATAAATTAAAGACCTTTATAAACTCAATTTAACGCATGTTTATTGCTCGATAATTACCGATCGACAGCGCTCGCGCACAGTCGCGCACATAACCTGTCTAGGCTAATCAGAGGATACTGCAGGTTCAAATAAACAATGCACAGCACATATCTGTGCACAGCGACAAACAATTCAGAAGTTCCCAAGCAATCATGTTTTCAGACAAGTTTTGATCAATAACAAGTTAAAAATGTTACCATAAAGCTTGAAATTGGAAGTCCAGAAATAGTTATTTAATTGACTACGAGGTGGAAAAACGGAATCAAGGACCGGTTCCACGACTCCAATTAGTTGAAGTTAAACAGGTTTACAGCAGATTTAAACCGAAGTTTTCATCTAGGAGCATTAAAACGTCTACCTAGACACCCATCCTGTCACCTCTCCGTTACGAGACTTCGAGGTGTCTCATGCTTACATGACATGATAAGAAAATTATATTGTTGAACTTCTAAATATAGTACATGTAAATATAAATGTAATACATAATAAAAAAATATAGATGCACTCGAGTCCTCTTCTTTACTTTTAACGGCTTTCCATCTTCCCGCCTTTTTTCCTGTAATCCACAGAGATGAGTTGGGAGATTGCTCACGGGCAGGATCGTGCGATCGCATCCTGTGCTGCCCTCTGATTTCGTACGTGAGCTTTCACCGTTTTTTGCCCCCAAGGGCGGCACAACGAATTTCTGATAGGAGCTCGCGCACTCGCGATGGCGGTACCATCTACCAGTCACCGTTGGCGGCTCACGTACTCGCGATGGTAATACCATGCGGCAGTTGACCGTGGTGGCTTACCTACGCTTACCGACACTGCTCGCTTTTGATGGTAAGGGAAGATCACTCGTGACGCTCCTTTTGACTTTATCTACTTATCCACTACTATTAAGTACATTGTTGCCTTGAAGTCGACGTGATGCGGAGTTTTGGGGCATACGTCGGTGTCGCGTACGGAACTCTCATGCAGCGAATCTGTGTGAGTGCGATCGATCCTAGAAACCTTCGCGCGTCCCAACCAGTCAAGCGTCAAACACGGGTCGAGACGTTGAGTATGTGTGCGTTCGGCGCTACACTCGACGAGTATGCGTGAGAGTCGAATACGGCGAAAAATCCTCCCGAGGCTTACTTAACTGGGGATGTAAGCCGAGTCATTTCGCGTATGATTTTTACATTTCCCTACTAGCGTTATCGAGCATTTTCAAGCGTTTCTATAGCGTTTTTGAACGTTTTCGAGCGTTATCTAGCGTTATTGAGCGTTTTTCGACTGTTTTCGAACGCTTTCGAGCGTTTCTTTATCATTTTCAGAGCATTTTCGAGCATTTTCACGCATTTTCAGAGCGTTCTCGAGCGTTTTCACGCATTTTCAGAGCGTTTTCGAGTGATGTTCTAGCATATTCGATCGTTATAGAGCGTTTCTCGGTCATTTTCAGAGCGTTTCCGAGCGTCATCGAGCGTTTTTCGAGTGTTTTCACACGTTTTTAGAACTTTTTCGAGCAATGTCGAGCGTTCTTCGAGCGTTTTCGAGCGTTTTTCAAGCGTTTTCGAGCGTTATCGATCGTTTTTCGAGCATTGTCGAGCATCATCGATCGTATTCGTGCGTTCTCTCGCACTCTACTCTACACGTCTACTCGCACTCTACGGGACTCTACGGGACTCTACGGGACTCTACGGGACTCTACGGGACTCTACGGGACTCTACGGGACTCTACGGGACTCTACGGGACTCTCCGGGACACTACGGGACACTACGGGACTCTACGGGACTCGATAACGCTCAAAAACACTCGAAAAATGGTCGATAACGGTCGAAAACGCTCTGAAAGGGTCGAAGAACGCTCGATAACGCTAGTAAGTAAATGTAAAAATCATACGCGAATGGCTCGGCTTATATCCGCGGCTAGGGCGGATTTTTCGCAGCATTCGACTCTCACACATACTCGTCGAGTGTAGCGCCGAACGCACACATACTCAACGTCTCGACCCGTAGCTTGGCGCTTGGCTGGTTGGGACGCGCGAAGATTTCTAGGAGCGATCGCACTCACACAGATTCGCTGCATGAGAGTTCCGTACGCGACACCGACGCGTGCCCCAAAGCTCCGCATCACGTCGACTTCGAGGCAACAATGTACTTAATAGTAGTAGATAAGTAGATAAAGTCAAATGGAGCGTCACGAGTGTTCTTCCCTTACCATCAAAAGCGAGCAGTGTCGGTAAGCGTAGGTAAGCCACCACCGTCAACTGCCGCATGGTATTACCATCACGAGTACGTGAGCCGCCAACGGCGACTGGTAGATGGTACCGCCATCGCGAGTGCGCGAGCTCCTATCAGAAATTCGTTGTGCCGCCCTTGGGGGCAAAAAACGGTGAAAGCTAACGTACGAAACCAGAGGGCAGCACAGGATGCGATCGCACGATCCTGCCCGTGAGCAATCTCCCAACTCATCTCTGTTTAAGCCTGATTCCACAACTCGAGTTAACCGAAGTTTAACTGATTCATTCATAGGTTAAACCTGCTGTAAACCACTTAAACTCGGGTATCTACGAGTTGTGGAATCGGGCCTTACTATACATTTTAGTGTTCGTGTTTTATTGGTTAATTCCTGGTTATTACTAGAAACACATCCAATAAGAATTAAGAGAAATTCAATCGAGATTTGCCATTTTTAGGTAGTGTGTTCACGTTGGAAGTTTGGCGAAACTGAGGTTGACGTCGTAACGATTTTTAGGTTACTTCAGTGAACTCACCTCTTCGCTATTTAAGAAGAATTTCCGAAAATGTCGAAGAGAAACCCGAGCGACGATTATAGAAAAGGTTTTGTTTGTCACTTTTTTGTACTTGTTCTATCTCGTTATGGTAAAATGTATTTACACGGGGTTTTTCTGTTAGCGGATGCTCGACGAAGTTTAGCTCTGTTCTTTCTACTTCTTAGTACTTCCCTATATGATGTTATTATTCTGATATAAGAATTGGAGTCATTCTTTTTCATTGTTTATCATTAACAGATACAGAGTGGAAATAGCAGCATTGAAGTGTTAATGTCAAAGCGTCGTGTTCAGTAGGATAATGTACTCTAATATTTCTCAAATTTTTCTTTAGCAGCAGTTAGAAAAACATTTGGATTTTGTCAAATTAGGAAATATCGAACATATAATTGCTTGATGGTAGTTAGAATGAAAAGTTAGTTTAAATGATTAGGGTTCTTAAATGGAAAACCAAAGAATATGAGAAAAAATCTTTTCTCTGCTGTCAGTTACACCTTAGATTGTGTAATAATATACCTGTTTGTATACGATCAATTAGTGTTACAGAATCTAATTCATTATAATCATCACAAATGCTTCTTTACAGTTTGTTAATGCCTGAATATATTATACCATCCCCATAGGACATGACAGTTCAGTTGAAACTGATTTAAAATTTCCTGTTAATAAGACAGTCTTGTTTAACTTGATCTGAACTTTGCCAGTGTTTGACGTTGTCAGGGTCAAGTATCTACAGAGCAGAGGACAACGGAGGAGAAGACAGGGAACGGGATCGTTCTCCTTTAAGATCGGATGACCGCAGAGAACCTGTCAATTTCAACCAAGCCGATGCTAAGAAGCACAAACTTGCCTTTGGCTTTAGCAAAAAACCAGCTGCTACAGATTCTAAAAAAGGCATTCAAATCAAATTAGGAGCTGCATCGGTTAGTTCGTCGCTTAATTTTCATTCGTACAATACATCTTACAATCGAGACATTATCGAACATATACACTTTTGTTTAGAAACCAACTGCCAAGCCAGCAACTATTCAACGACCAACCGTGGCCTCAGTGTTTAATGCAGATGAGGAAGAAGAACCTGAAGAAATGCCGGCTGAAGCACGAATGAGAATGAGAAATATTGGAAGGGAAACACCAACTTCTGCAGGTCCTAATTCATTTGGCAAGACAAAACAAGGATTTTGCGACTCTAAAAAGATATTTGAAAAAACCTTAAAGAAAGCTATGGAAGAGGCCAATAAATGATTTTCTTATTTTGCTTCATTGAAAGCAATTGTTAAATTGTACATTATTATACAATGATGGACAGGTCAAAGCAACAGTACTTGGCAATTCAATTGTTGTTATGATGTGGTTGAAATAATCATCAACCAATATGGGCAGTTCATTGAATTATGTACATGCATTGTACCTACATAATTCAGTACACATTAACTTGCAGTTTATATAAATTTCATCAGGGCTTTCTAAGGACAAATTCAAATATCTAATCTATCGCTATCTTACACTTTATAAAAAAATGTTTATGTAATGAAGAAAATGTTACTTTTTTAAACTTAAGATATAGAGTAAAATAGTGTAATTAAAATAGAATTCAAACTAAAGTGAAAATCTCATTAAGAATCATATTTACACAAATGGATCACAGTATCGCCTACACAACGATCTTTACATATGAACTGTAGCATAAATTAGACTTAAAGTTCTATACAATATAGAAGTATTGCATAGTTCACTTTTTATAACACTTAGAGGATAAAGATATTTTAACACAAATCTACAGCTTTAAACCGATTTGACCTAAGTCAGAGCACAGAATTGGATTTATCTTCTTGCCTATTGTGGAACAGTAAGAATCATGCAATTTTGTTTTCTTATACCGCACATGACGAATTTTTATCTTATTCATGAACAATAATATAACAATGTATGTACACGGAAATAAGAAAACAGGCAAAAATAAGTATTTAACAGAGCTTGAAACAAAGAATATTTGTGTAAAAATTACTGAATAAACATTAAAAATTGTATATGGGTTTACACTTTTATTTATCATTAATAAGAATACATGATACTCTCATTTCCTGTTTTGTTGACCCTGACGCAGATCCTAGAAAAATAAACAAAAATGATGTAATAAAACATGATATTAAATTTAAGTTTTTTTCTAATAATCATGCATATCAATAACATTAGAGACATTTTTTCACATAACACATACCCTTGGGAAATTTCGTACTGGTGGTGTTCGAATGCGACGGTCTTCCTTAGACCTATTGCGTACCACCTTGGAGTGAATTGCGCAAGAAACACAATAATGCAACTTGGCATACAACTTTGGAAGTTGAAAGCTGGGATAGATGCTAGCATCAGTAATATCCCGAACTGCAGCAGCCTCGACAATGTTACGGATAACAAACTTTTTGATTGCTTTGTCTTTTGGCACACATCGTGCACAATTAGTGCACCGTACAGGATTCACGTGGCCACGGCCGTGCTTAGCACGTCCTCCATTCCGACGTTTACAAGTCTAAAAAGGAAATATACAATATTGAAGATATGTAATTAGATAAAATAAAAATTAAACAACAGAATTTAAATTAAATAATTATAAAGTTCGACGTAAATTTACATTACTAACTTTGACGTATATCAAACTATTAGGTAAATTATGGCAGGACTGCACGTGCAAAATCCGCATGTTAGGTTAGAATTCCATTTTTCGCGTCCTCTTTAAATGGATCTCATATTCTCAATACAATGATTACCCTCAGTAACGATTATAAAGGTTACATATAAATAACATAAAAAATTATGGCATTAAGATATTTGGAACAGCAAAATTGAACGTTGTTCAAAGAATTACTTACCATTTTGATGCGTCGAGAACGAGAAGGAAGTATGACCGATGACTTACGGCCTAGCAAGAAATTTGTAAGAAAGAGAAAAGTGGGGTTCTTTTCATCGTAGTACTAACCTCATTGTAAGATGGCGCCACCTATTTTTTATTGAGTATGTACACTGGACTCCATCGATGGCTTGCACCTGGTCCGCACTGCCCTCTCCGGCCGCGCAGCGTACTAGCGGCGGGAGCAGCGCGGAATTCGAATCGATCGAGGGGCAGAATGCATTTCCTAAAGAAAATAAATATTTATAAACAAAAACAATTAATGAAAATTATTTTAGTATTACTGTGGAGCGACCCTGACCCACCTAACGTAGTTTTTGTTAAATAATAATTTACAGAATTTTATAAAGAATATAATAGAACATGTTCTATTAAATGTTAACAAGTTTCTTAGTGATTCAATTGTTCCATTCACTGAACCGAAGTTAGAATATTATCTTAGCTTAAAAGAAATAGTTTCTAAATATATATACAGTGAAATACCGTCGGAAAATTTACGACGCATCAACTATCGGACAC